CGCAATGGCTGCCAAGGGAACTAACAATCATTTTGCGCAATCAGATATTCTTCGATAGGCTATTGTCTGTTTACTGTTAGTTGTGGAGTGGATGAATTGAGGTCTGAATCACAAAGCGTGCTTGTTGGCGCTGCCCGACCTCCTTGTTGGAATCTTGCCGTCGCTGTCCTCGACCGGGATCCTTTGCCGAAGACATGGATGCACCGATGCATGATGATCTTTCCGTGGGAGATGTTTTTGCACCTCAGGCGGACATGTCGCAACCTCGTAACGATGCCCTTCTCGACAATAACCCTGATACTCGCTTTCGCATGAGTGGTGGCAGTCCGACCCGCAAGCAAGTTCCGGTCACCAAGGATGTCAATGAAGTTAGTCCCTTTCCAGCACACAACCTCAGCGTTAAGGCCTTGTCCGGTAGAGCAGACCGTCGCAGAAAGAAGAAAAAACATCAGGCAAGCGAAGTTCCCCGCGCCATCTCCACTGTCCGCGGATTTACTCCACTCGCCTCTGGCGACGAAGACTCGGATTTCTCGACCACAAGCGCTAAGGTTCGTCCTTCGTCACGAGCACGCGCTCATGCGGAGAGCAATGGAAACAGCCCCATGGCTCAACCTGCCGCTTGTGGCGTGAGCGCTTTGAAGCTTCAGCTCGATTCGCTCAGCTTGTCCGGCAGCTGTAGCCCTCAGGCTGCGCGGAGTGACCTGTATTTTGAAACCCCGAGCAATGCAAGCGTTTGCTCGGATAGCGACCAGACAGAGGTCCTGACTAGTTACGAAGTACCCCTGGAACATGATTTCGTCAGCTCCGATGCTGCAGCGGAAGAAACGTCCGCGAGTCTCCCCGTTGCGCAGGATGTCCGTACTCAGCTGTGCCGCAAAATGACAACCGCAGACTTTGAGCCGTTGCTCTGCCTGGGCAAGGGCTCCTTCGGAACCGTGCTGCTTGTACGCCATGCGCTCACTGGGAAGTTGTACGCTCAGAAGCAGTTTCGTAAGGCATCGCTCACCGTTCACAAGAAACTCGTGGAACAGACCAAGACTGAGCGCGTGATTTTGGAAAGTGTGAACCGTCATCCATTTGTGGTGAAACTGTTCTACGCGTTCCAGGATCACGAAAAGCTGTACCTCATCCTGGAATATGCCCAAGGTGGTGAGCTGTTTCACCACTTGGCGATGGAACGCATGTTCGACGAAGATGCCGCCGCATTCTACATGGCGGAAATGGTTCTCGCTCTCGAACATCTGCACCAGAATGTGGGTGTGATCTATCGCGACCTTAAACCGGAGAACTGTCTCCTGGACCGCGATGGCCATCTGCTCCTGACCGACTTCGGCCTCAGCAAAATCGCAGTCAACGATGACGATCGCTGCAACTCATCCCTGGGCACCATTGAGTACATGGCTCCCGAAGTCGTTCAAGGCAAACCCTACGGCAAAGCCTGCGACTGGTGGTCTCTTGGCGCGCTCGGCTACGATCTACTCACCGGCTCCCCGCCCTTCAAGGCCAACAACAACGCCAAGCTGCAGGAGAAAATCGTCAAGCAGAAGCTCACGTTGCCCTACTTCCTCGGTCCGGACGCCAAAGATCTTCTCACCCGCCTGTTGCGCAAGGAACCCTCCAAGCGACTTGGCTACCACATGCCCAAAGACCTGCAGACCATCAAGAATCATCGCTTCTTCCGCAAGATTGACTGGAAAGCGCTGGAGCGCCGCGAGGTTGTTCCCCCTATCCTCCCCGTCATCACAGACCCGGCTCTGGCGGAGAACTTCTCGGCCGACTTTACTGCCCTGCCGCTGAGTCCGGTCGTCACCAGCAACGGGTTTGACGATTATTACTCTCTTCGCCGGCGCCCCAGCCAGCGTGCAATATCGACAGGTCCAGATGGGATGAGTTGCGACAATGACCCATTCGGTGGATTTAGCTTTGTGGCTTCCAGCAGCCTACTTGATAATGGAGTGGGTGTTATGACCCAGGATTACTGATAGCCTTTCTTTGTTGTCCAATGGTTGCATTTCACTTTCAGCCTTGTTTGAATTCTACCACGACTGGTGTTACTGGAGATCTTGCTTGGAAATCTTATATAGCGGATTCTCTACAATTCAAGTATCAACGGAGTACAGTATCCGTTCTATATTGCTGGATTCTCAAATCATATACTATCCAAAAAAAGTCGACCAGCCGGCCAAACAATGCATGCTCAAGGTGTAGTGCATAAATGCAATGAACGCAGCTGATCGAGCCGCTAAATGATCGTATATATGACCCATGAGGAAGTGCTCGTTACGCCAGGTCACTGATCAGTCAATCAGTTGGAGAGACTCCCTCCTTTTCTTTGTCTGGATCATGTATGTTCTCTGCAACTTATTAATTGTAGTTGTCGTAAGAACACGAGGAGCTTCAAGTCTACGGCGAAGCTGAAATCAAAGCTCCCCTTCTTCACTGCCCCCACCTTCGTCTTCCTGAGCGGCTTGTTCCAGCTGTGAGGGCAGGGGTGGAGGTGGCGGCTGAGGGATATCCGGAGGTGGTGGCGGTGGGGGTAGAGGTTGATGATGAGGGTGCGCTGGGGGCGGTGGGGGCGGTGGATGCTGCTCCTCGAATGACTGCGACCTCCTTCCAAAAGACGGCCGGCGTCGTCTCGCGGGATCATCGTACCCACGGTACCGATCGGGTGCGCGGCGATCGACTGAGTTCCGTCTGTTGGGGATTCTCGCTCCGCCTCCGGGTGGTGGTGGTACTGGTGGAGCACCGTGCGGCGGCATATTCTGTGAAACGATTTCGTCAATGCGTTGTTGGATTGGATCGGCTTCCCTTAGACCTGCGCCTTTTCCGCCGCCGGGAGGGCGGTGGTCGCTATCTCGACGTGGGAATGGACGGGGAGCCGGTGGTAAGGGATGCGGGTGACGAAGGTGAGTGGGAGGATGAGGTAATGACGGAGGTACCTGGCCGTTGAGATGGGGCCGGCCCTGAGAGGAGAAGGAGGAAGGGCTTCCTGCGTTTGGTAGGCTTTGCGAGGAAGGAGCGGATGGACTCTGCTGTTGATCCTGCGAGCTGCCGCGTGGCGCCGCATCTGACTCCCTGCGTAGTCGTTTCGGAGAACGCTCTCCGTTGGAGGGGGCTGAGACGTTTCCTCGAGTTTCGCCGCTGTCTTCTGGCTCTTTCGATCGTTTCCGTCCGTGATTGACGTCTGACTCCGCTGCAGGACGATTTGCGGGACTGCCAGCGTGGGGGATCCTGGTCTTCTCAGTGCCCTCGTCCGACAGTATTGGGGTGGTCGGGTAGTACTGGCTATGTTTCTGCATGGCATTGTTCTCGTAGAGCTGTGCCATTCTCATGCAGGCGCGACGCACCTGCGTCAGATCCACGTCAATCTGCTCCCACCACGGTCGACCGCGGTCGTCGTCCGGAAATCCCACGTCGCAGTGCCGCGCTGCGGCGTATAGAGCGGCGGCAGCGATGGTGCGTGCGTTGAACTGTAGACAGAGGACGGTAAACATGGAGTCATTGACAAAGGCCCATGCAGCGTTGCGGAGCGGTTTGTTTTCATTCACGCCGAAAAAACAGATAAAGTCGTAGAGGATGCGGTACGGCTGTTCGAGCTGCAGGTCGAAGCAGAGCGCCTCCAGGAGTAAGTCCTCATGGTGAAGGATCGTATCCCTCCATTTCCAAAACTCCTTGGATTGCTCGTCCACCACCAGATTCGGCTGCTTTTGCGCCACTCGGCAGCAGGCCACCACGAGCTCTCTCATCCTTCGAACATTCTCTTCAACTTTCGTAGCTAAGAATAGTGCTGTGGCCGCGATGGGATAAGGATGCATGCCCGGTCGTTGCGGTATATCGACCATGCTGTACCGCATGAAGAACCGGTGGAGGTAGACGGCGGCGGTCGCCAAAGTGAGCTGGGGCAGCTTCAGCATGATGCCGACCTGGGTGATGAAATTGACACCTTTGCTGCGACTAGTATGCTCCGCTTCAATCTTCATACCGTCAAGTTGGGATGGCGTACGAGTGAGTTCTTCATCTGTGAAGAGCCATTGGGCTTGCGATGCGTCGAGGATGGGATTCGACTCAGCAGGTACAGGCAGTTTCTCCGGGGAATGCGACGGTGCCGAGGCCATGACGTATTGAGGATATTGTCTTGCCGCAGCTCAATTACGCTGAGACACAATCAAGTTGACAGAATGTTTCCTTCGATGTTTATTGGGAAGTGCTCTGGACTATGAACGGCGTTCAAGTCCTATCTCTTCGAGGAGGACAGCTGAGCAGGGCGCGCTGACCGCACGTGGTGCTGCGTGTCTGTCCTCCCTCCACAACAAGGAGATGCCAGAATTGCGTGTTTTATGAGTTCGTATCAAACATAGCGCATGGTAAGCCTCGTGGTACTGCGAGCTGACTTTTCGCGGTCAAGGTGACTTGTGAAGCGTGCTTAGCCAGAAGACGAGCAAATGGCGTTTGCCGAACGAGTGTTTGGGTAGGTGCGGAAGAAGCTCCGAAACTCTTCTGCTTGAGTAGCCGGAATAACCCTTCTGTCTTGATCAAAAACAGCTCTCAACGATAGAGTATACTGTGGTCTTGTGAAGGCTGGATTGCTCACACTGTGCCGCAACAATCCAAAAGATAGTCTGGAGTGCGGATTGCGAAAGGCCCGGATCATCGAGTTGTTCCGGGGTATGTAGATCGGCTTCAGTTGACCCAGTACAAGGAGTACCCGTATCCTACAACAAATCAGGCTGCTTTTGAAATTGGCGAGCTCAGTTGAGAGAAAATAAATTCGTTGATTTCTGTGTACAAGTATGATTCGATCATGGTATCGTTACCCTCTAGTGACCTGGTGGACTGGGCTGGGTCCAGTGCCCTCGCTGCAAAACTCCAAAACGACGCCATGCACGCAAATAAATCTGACAGATAGAAAACAGAATACTGTAGACAAAGGTATCGCGACAATTCGGAGATGGGGCCGAGATGCAAGATGTGGGAAAATAAGACAATAGAACAGAAAGGTATCATTCCTCCTCACTAACCTCACTCTCATCATCACTGGGAACATGGTACTGCAGAGACGGTGGCTGGTATTCCTGCTTCCTCGCTTCTTCCTCAAAAGCAGCCTCCATTTCAGCCGCTAGTGCATCGTCATCGTCTTCAATCTCCTCCTGTGTTGCCGGTGCTGTTTCCACCCTCTCGGACGAAGCACCACCGCGGCCGACAGGAGATGGTAGCCGCAGAGCTTCCATTTCTTCCTCACCATCTTCCTCCTTTCCTGGAGTATTATTGGACGAAAAGTGTGCTGGATTAACCCTGAAAGCGGGACGAGATGGAGGGGGTGATCCCATATCGATGATCAGATCTCCGTCAATTATGATATTAGAGCCTGGTGACGGAGCCGCCTTGAAGGACGATACCAACTCGGTTCCAGTGTCCGAGGGGGATGATTTCATTTCCCCAGCTGTGATCTCCACCTCCTCTATCTCTTCCTCCTGAGGCTCTTCCCGCTCAACTTGCGCTGGAGGCTCCAGATTCGTCTTGGGAGCAGTTTTTGTTTGGTTTCTAGAAGGTTTGCTCGGGCGTGATAGTTGACGGAGAGGATTGGTTTGAGGCTTAGGCCGAGCTTTGGGACTTGGAGTAGGTTTGGCGGCCGCGGTCATCAGAGGGGTATTGGCTTTACTGGTATTGAGATGAGCTGCCATTGCACCATCCGAAACGGACTTGTCATCGTCAGCGTTTTCTTTTGGCAGGAAGTGACGATAGTCGTAGGGATTGCTGTCATCAGCGGGACCGTCGTCAGTGTCAGCGGCTCTTTCAACTGCTCCGTCATCACCAGAGCCCTGGTCATCATCATGCAATGTTCTCAGCTGCGTATACTGCTCCGTCACCTGCTTTTCAGTTTTATTAGGTGCCGACCGAAGATTGAAGTTCAACTGCGTCGCAATCGGCTCGAGAACAAAGACCTTACGGTCCGGATCAAAAACCAAAACCAGATTCCGCTCGCGGGACTCCGGCGTAGCATGGTCTGGATCCACGCTGCCTTTGTATGAGTATGTTATAACACTATGATCGGCATTCGGTGCCTTGTCAGTGATCGTGAGGTTATATAGGTCCGGATATTGCGCAGATCTGGTGATATGGGTGCGTTGCTGCGAGGACGCGGACTTCGTTTTATAATTATACTGAATGTTGATCAACTTCGATTGCGGTTTCGTGTCTCCTCCGGCCAATTGATCACCCAAGATGATAGGATAGTCTTTGGTGGGATCAATTAATCCACCCGAGGGGAACAAAGCCGAGGCGGCCATTTGAGATAAGACTCTGGCTTAGAGAGAGCGACCGAGTGCGCTAGAAGTCGGGCGCTAATGTATGTGAAACCTGTGCTCTTCAATAAGCCGTATAAGAAGGTCTCGTTTCTTTGTGTGGTCAAGCACAAAGAAGACGGGGCAACTACACACAAGGGAGCCCGTCACTCCGGGGAGGACAACGAAGGGGGAAGGAGGTGGTACAATGAAAATCGACCATAGAGGAATAGGAACAGAGAAAGCGTAAGGGAATATAGGTATAGAAAAAATGCTGCAGAGAGCAGCTAGACATGTCAGCTACAAGCTGGCATCTGACTTGAAGCATGAAACGTGACGAGATGAGATTAGATGAGATGAGATGGGATGGGATGTGACGGGGGGAAGGGAAGATGACGGCGGTCCAGACAACGTTGGAAGGCGGAGACCAAAAGGCGCCCGCAGCTAGACCTGAACAGGCTTAGAGTCTCCCGGGCCAATCCTTCGCTGATGAGGACGCCCCATCAGCCGATCACCCGTCGACCCTCGGTGGCAGATATATCATATGGATATCGTGAGTATCGACTGGAAGAAAGTTATTTCTTGAGGCTCTCAAGTCTAGCCTACTGGTAGTAACCTTTATCTCGCGGCTGTTGTTCAATGAGGGGGTGAAGTCACCCGCGTGGTCCCTTTGGAGGCAGTTCCGGTGAGTTGTTCCAACCGCCCTGCCAAGGCTCGGTGCTTCCGTGTAACCTCTTCCCACTCATAGGCGGCAACCCCCTCGTGCTCGTCTTCCGCGGTACTCATCTCCGTCAGAATCATGCTAAAGTCTCCCCCCAGTCTTCCCAAGCTAGCAGCGCAATATAACACCTGAGTTAGAAGACTTTCGCGAGAGCTCTTATCTTGAACATTGGGTAGATAGGTGTGTAAAGTGTCAGTCAGTAGCTGGATGAGATGCATAGGAAAGGTTGCCAAAGCTGCTGGAAGGCATTGTAAGGGGTCATCCATGCGAGTCGGCTGTGACGAGCTTGTTTTAATGCGGGCATCAATCCCTCGCAGGCCTGCAATAACCGACTCTGACTCGGCTTGGTCAGGGGTGAAGATGTTCTTATACAGGGAAACAATTGCAAAGCTCTGCTCCCTGAAGATCTCAATGTATCGTTTCAAGAACTTTTCTGTCTGGTGGCCGTGAGACCAGGACGAGTTCGGTGTCCCATCCTTCTGATCGGTATTCCGGGTTCTGCGCTGGGTCTCCTGGTCTGCTAGTTCTCGCAGAGGTTCCAATGCCTCTAGTGTCGAAATCAGATTTGCCAATCTGCAAACCAGAAACAACGCACCGAGTGCGCCTTCCCCGGTGCCCGCTCCGCCGTCACTGTGCAAGCCCTCCAATTCCGGAGCCACGCGACGTAACCAGCCTACCATTCTCATAGCCGCTGCCAACCGAAGGTTCTGCGTACGAAGACCCGCTACCAAATTTGTTGTCATCTCCTTCATTGCATCCTCGGCTTGAGAGGCGACATCCTTGACGAGGGGAGAATCAGGGTACAGTGTCTGTAATCGCTTGATGTGAGCGTATAAATCCAAAGCAGATGAGTAGGTTGTAGAAAACGAGGTGCCGCCCGCGGCAACAGAGCTTGCAGCTGCCGAAGAGACAGCTGTCGATAGAAGAGAGGGAAGTTCTAGAATGTCGGAAAGTCGATCGACATTCTTCGCCAGCTGCATGACCTTCTTTCGCCGCTCCAGAGACGGGTTCTCTGCGGCTCGGCTGTACTTGGTAGAAAATCGGACCGCCTCTTCGTCAAGTTTAGGTATTGCATCTCGTAGATTCTGTGCGTTGCGGGTCAATTGGGGAATTGAGGTACGGAGCTGAGAGAGGTTATCGGCAGAAGTGATAAAGGCCTTGTGCGAGCGATTTGATAAGGCCTGGAGAGACAGGACGGTAGAATGCGAGGATTGCGCCAGAGATTGCGGTTCTGTCGTTTCCAAGGCGTCAAGCGACAGTGTTGACAGTCGGTTCAAGTACTGAGCCGTAGTCGTGTCATTATCTGGAGCCAACGGCGTCGAGGCAGCATTTACTGGAGAGAAATGAGGAGCCAACAGGTCGTAAAGATAGTCAGTCATGGTGGATCCCGTGGCTGTTCCCTTTTGTAAGGGAGGAACAGTTAACAAAACAAAGTACAGCTGACCAATGGTGGACGAAGAACTGGCTAGAAGCTGATGCGACGAAGTCTTGAATACCTTACCTAGTGGTGATGCGGTACGGCAGCCATTGCGGCAACAAGCGCATCTCCGCATATCCTCCTTGACGCTACGCCAGTCCATCCCATCCCCCTCCGGCGCCTCAGCGTAACCAAGGCAGACCTGTCTAGGCCAATCTTTGTCTCTCCATTATAAAGCCAAACCCGCCGAATATCCAGGCTCTTGGTATTGCTATATCTCCTAGTGGCCAGGGCTTGTGTGCAACTTCAACATCTCACATCCGATAAACTAGCCAATTGAGGGATACTCAGGTACTGCCCGCCACTCTCATCCCAAAGCATCGCTTTCTGCTCTTTGAGTTTAGCTGTACATATCACGATTGCTCTGACTAGACAGAAGATTTTCCAAGAAAGGCCACTTGCAGGTGTATAATCCATAATCCGCCATTGCATGACCGCGACCTGACTCCAGCACTGTCATTTTTCACTGCTCCCCTCCCAACATCAACCGATGTTGTATCAACCATGGGCAAACCGCGGGTTAGCTTTCCCTCGGTCGCATTCTATGCCTGGTACCTCAGCGTCTCACTCAGTCAATAGATGATCATCTTGATCCGCCATGCGCAGTCAGAAGGAAACAAGAATCGGGAAATCCACCAGACGATCCCTGATCATCGGGTCAAGCTCACACCCGAAGGACATCGACAAGCAAAGGAGGCAGGTAGCAAGCTGCGTGCTCTTCTACGGCCCGATGACACGATACACTTCTTTACCTCCCCCTACCGTCGGACTCGGGAGACTACAGAGGGGATCCTCGAGTCATTGAGTTCTGATTCTCCGTCCCCGTCGCCATTTCCCAGACATACCATCAAAGTATACGAAGAGCCACGGCTGCGAGAGCAGGACTTTGGCAATTTTCAGCCGTGCTCTGCGGAGATGGAGCGGATGTGGCTGGAAAGAGCGGACTATGGACATTTCTTCTATCGAATCCCGAATGGTGAATCTGCTGCGGATGCTTATGACCGAATTAGCGGCTTCAATGAGTCGCTCTGGCGTCTATTCGGGGAGAATGATTTTGCCAGTGTCTGCGTACTGGTAACTCATGGTCTCATGACGAGGGTCTTTCTGATGAAATGGTATCACTGGAGTGTTGAATATTTCGAAGATCTGCGCAACATCAATCACTGCGAGTTCGTCATCATGAAGCTCAACCCGGACAATGGGAAATATGTGCTTCAGAACAAGCTGCGCACATGGTCCGAGCTGAGGAAAGAAAAGGAAAACGAGAGACAACGAGAGCGAGCGAACAAAGACCTCACTTCGGCTGCTTCTCTCACCCCTGCTGCCTCTCCTGTCCTGATCAGACGCAAATGGGGTGGATGTCCTGACGGCTGTAACCACGGCCTTCACAGGAAAAGATCCTTACGATCTTCACCGACGACTGGCGGTGACCTGACGCGTGTTGGGAGTGAGGCGCAACTCTCCACGAGAAGTAATGTGAGTTATCCCTAGCTTGAAAACAGCCATGGCCAGGTCACAGGTGAATGACGCTAAATAGCGCAACACAGGTCGATCAGCAATACATCACGGCCCCTGAGCCAGCACTAGGGGACCGTTCCACAGACTTTAGACCGACGGACCAGGCTGTTGCCCCCTCTGACGCTCCCTCAACCCGAGACGTTGATGCTACTTCCCAACCCACAATTCTCCCCACAGACTTTGATGCCAGCACCGACCGCAAGACTCAAACATCCAAAAGGCCCAGCCCTCATCCGACGCCCTCCGCTGCTTCGAGCCCAGGCCCGATATCCAGGCGGCCCGACCTAGCCAAGTTTCACCGCGACAGCGAGGATCATCTTCTGCACCCACCAAGGTCAAACTACGCTCTCCTCCACCTCGGCGGCCGCGACGGCGGCGGCTCCCTGAGTGGCGCAAACAGCGTCGCTCCGTCCGAGGACGAGCGCGAAGACGCAGGTTTCTGCGGTGACCGACTCGACCAGCACAAGCCGAACTCCTCGCATGAATTCGCCGACGACGGCGACGATGAAAGCCACACCAAGCAGGTACAACGACCGAAGCGGACGCGCTCACGCCATAAGCACAACCATAACCGTTACAACCCAGGCCACCACCACAACCACACTCACCACTCAGCCTCGGTGAAACACGGCAACTCCAAAAAGGGAGCAATGCACACCGGCGGCACAGACAGGTCGCAAGATACCACGTACACCCCTGCCGAACCACCCGCTCAACAAGAAAACCATAACGACCGCACACACCTTGAGCACGAATCCCAGCAGGCCCATGTACACGCGAACGACGACGACGACAACAACAACCACAGCGGCGCGGATGACGGGGATGACGTCGACGCTGCGCTCGAGGCCGAACGGCAGGCAGATCAGAGTATCAGAGGGAGTGTCTACTGATTGAAACTCTATGCATTCTCCCTCCATCGTTATCTCCCCATCCCACCTTTTGCATGTAAACACGCACCGGCACGTATTTCATACGACCGTCTGCGCTTCCCTAATTTAACCCCGTATTACGATATCTCACGATAGTTTCCATGTTGATACCTTGAAAAGAAGCATAGATTAAGAATGATGCGTTAATCCATCGAGCGAAAATGGAAAGGAACGCTCGCATGACTATCTCGTTCCATTTTCCTAGTGGTACGGCGAATAGAGACGTAGATTTACCCAAATATCGTATCTGTCAGCAGGTACAAAGACTGAAAAGGCAGATACACCTGAGAGCTCAATCATCTCAACATCAGTCCGCAATGGAGTTCATCACGTTTCCATGTAATCGAGATCCAGGAAG